TAGGAAAGTTGAGTGCAATAAATGGATACATGTGCATGTGAAATGTCTGATGCATGTGACACTTATGCATATGAAATGCATATGCACTGTAAAACTGTCTAATTCACATAATTCTGACCACAGTATACTAACATTTTTAGGGACATTTTTGTTCTTTAAAACCTCAAGCAGTCTATGGTTGACGATGAATACCTGTACAGCCATGTGCTGATCTGTCTTAGCCTCAATTATACAATATACTTTTTTTAAAGAGAAAAAATTAAATTTCTAAAAAGATTTCATGAAAAGGGCAATAATAAGAGATCCAGGTTTTCTGTTTGACACAGAAAAACATTGTAAAACTTGGATTTTCTCCTTTAAAGGAGAAAAATGCAGGAACCATGGGTTTCCCCTTCCAGGCTGGCAGAGTTCCAGCCTGCAAGGGGCTGCTTGGGGCTCGGGGGAGTGAAAGGAGGCTGATCAGACACAGGGGGCACCGAGTGCACGTGTGTGTATGCACAGACACATGTGGCTAGCAATACAGCCAGGCAGCAGATTGGGGTGGCGGCAGCTTGTGCTGAGCCCATATGGTAAGGAAGGGAGTGGGCCAAGATTGGCAAGTGGGGCTAGGGGCACTGCCCAGCCAGGGCAGTGTGCGGTGCACAGTGGGCCAGGGGAGGAACGTGTAGCAGTGTCCCCCCCCTGCCCCCAGCCCCCATCCAACACATTCCCACTTCCCCATACACTGGGGGGGCCTGGGAGGCAGGAGCAGTGAGTTGAGAGTGAGGGGCACCAGCAGGGCTGGGGGGATGGGCCTGTGGCTTGCGGTGAAAGGCAATGACATATCAGGGCTCCTCAGCACCGCAAAACAGCCCCAAAGCGGGACTGACATCCTGGTGAGCGAAGGGGCAGGGGGAAGCTCTGATTTTTCATGATAAAAAAATATCAAGCACCAAAATATATAGATATTTAGAATTTATTTTATTATAATGATTCAGGCACTGGTAGGCTACCAAATGGTTTTAAAATTGTAAATGTATCAATAAAGCATTGTGTTCAACTGATACCTATCTATATAGAAGTATTTCATAGATTTCACAGATTTCATAGACATCAGGGCTGGAAGGGACCTCGGAAGATCATCGAGTCCAGCCCCCTGCCCAAAGGGGCAGGAAGTCAGCTGGGGTCATTTCATTTTAATCATGGAAAAACACAGATTTTGGATTTTTAAATGAGAACATATTGGATTTTTTATCAGAATTTTTTTCATTTTTTAACAGAAAACCAGGATCCCTGGCGATAAAACACGTTTAGTGTGATCTGTAAAGCTTGTATTGAACATATCGCACAATGATTTTCCTTACATTAAAAGCTGGATTTCTGTGCGGCACTAGATGGCAACATTCCCTCAGCTCCAACAGGAGAGTCATGGGAAAGGTGAATAGCACAGAGCTAAATTCTGCCCTCATCAAAACCCACACCGCTCCTGTTACATCAGTTGGTTCCTATGAGTGATCAGAATGTGGCCCAGAGAAGTTTCCCTTCTTTCTGTGTATTCATCAATTTAGCTTCAGTGTTTGATGGATCTCTGTCAAAACCTTTGTTGAACAAATATGTTTTTGGCAATAGATACTTCGCTTTCATTACAAAAGCTTTTCTAGTCTCAGGTTGCTCCACAGTGTTTGCACTAAAAATACACTGGGCTTGTCTGCATCCAGAATATCACTGTTGCTTTTCTGCTACATTTTAAATATTGGCTTAGGGCAGTGGCTCTCACCGTTTTGGCTCTGTGGGCCAGATGAATGGCACAGGGCCAGTCTGAGGGTTGGATCAGGCTCTGTGCCACCCCTTTGCACTGGGACTGGGGCTCCATGAAGCCTCTGCCCAGCAGTTTTCAGGCTCCAGAGGCCCTGCGCTGCCTCCACCCCACTAAGATCAGGCTCCACACCACCCTATATGCTCAAGGCTGAATGATGTGATGCCAAGGGCTGTATCTGGCCTGTGAGCTGGGAATTGGCACCTCTGGTCTAGGGCTAGAACGGTGGAGCCCTTATAGACATGGTTTGCCTTCAGACTATGGGAGCAGAACATCTTGCCGCGCTTGGGTTTGAGGCTTGAGACAAGGCACAAGTGAGCCCTCAAGTGACAGGAATAGAAACAGACAGTGCCTGACATCACATTTGTGCCACCATAACAACTGTTATGGGAGCACAAACGGTGAGCAAATAGAAGTCCTTACTCTGTTGTGCCACTAATACTATGCCATAACAGGTACTAATAAATTGTGCTGCTTTATTGCAGCAGGTGTCTGTTTGTTCTGTGGCAGTGGACTGCAAGCAGCCCAGAGCTGCCCACACACTTCTACCACCCCAGGCATGTGCTCCAGGGGCTTGTGCACCCTGGATTTCTCAAGCCCCCAGAGCACCTGGCTGGCTTTCCCCACATACAGAAATGCCTGGAGCACATCTGCCTAAGCAGGGCAAGTCAGGTTTCCCTGCTTATGGACTTACCCCAGGATTTCCAGGGCTCACCTCCACAAGTGGGGAAAGCCTATGTGGGTCCTGGCATGGAGGCACAGAGCCTGGGGAAACACAGGCACCCTGGGCCTTCATGAATCTGGGTCTCCATGCTGGGACCCAAACTGAACTGCGCCTCATGCAGAGGTAGGGTTACCATACATCCAGGTTTTCAAGGACATGTCCTCTTTCTGGATCCTGCAATCTCCATCCAAGTGGTTTTTTAAAATATGATCAAATGTCCGGGATTCTGCTTAGTTCAGCTTTGAAGTTTTTCCTGGTTTACCCTAGCAAAGAGCTGCTTAGGGCTGGGGCGAGAGGGGGAAGGGCGGTTGGAGATAGGGCTCAGACGCACATGGCTGGCATGCAGCCAGGCAGAGTGGTGGGAGCAGCTCCGGCAGCTGGATGCAGGTAATTCTGTGGGGGTTGGGGGGCCAGGGCTTGGGGGCTGTCTGGGGAGTTCTGGGGGGAAAGGAAGGGGTGCTTGTGTG